ACAGTAAAAGAACAAGCCAAGAAAATGAAAATTAAAAAACAAAATCGCAAATTCTCCGTGTAATCGTCAACGAACAGTATTAAGATCCATAAGCTGGACCTGCATGGCACTGGTCTGATACTGGATGGAAGACATCACTGCGACTGCTGGTACGAGAGTTTCAGCGAATCAAAGCAATTAAGTTTCAAGTGTAAAAGCGCCTTCTTCTGCTTTGTACACCGCTTCTTCTACGTCCACATAGGCTAGCGATGCCTCCAGATATGACGTGTCCCTGCCCTTCTTGCGCGCTTTCCTGATCTGCTCCCGCAAAAAATAACGTTTGAGAGTCGGTACAACCTCGTATTTTGGAGCATTCAAAAATCCATTGTAATCCCTTCTGAAAAGAAAAAAAAACATTTATGAAAGGCGTCCTCACATTTCTAATTTCCCTCGCATATCAATGCGGAAAGGAATGTTAGACAATGAGAAGACTGTTAATGAATATGACGGAGCGATAAGTAGCACTACAACCATGCCAGGAGTCGAGAGTTTGATCTGGCTAGTGGCTAGGCCAATTCCACCACGACTCAAAAGTTTTTTAAAATCTTTTTTAAAACTTTCTTTTTTCAAATTTTTCTCATCTTCCTTCCTTTACCCTTCCCTCTTCACTCCATTCTTACTCCCCCTAATCCCACTATCATTTCGTCTCCCTTCTGCTTGTTTATGTCGTCTTTTTCTTTTCCCTTTCATTAAGCAGTGCGACCGTCATACTGACGAGACCCTGTCGCAGTGATGAGTTAAGGCGTATATGACTTAATGGACTGAAAGACCTTATCTCACTTTTGTCTTCTTTTCTCATACTGTTCTTTCATGCTGTAATCTATCGTGTCTTCGCCATTCACGCTTCCAGAGTCAATTTGGTTGCTACAATCGGCTTACTCATTCGCCTCAACGGAAAACTAGTACTGCGATACATCACAAATTCGCCAGTGAATTTTTCTAAGCAATTTTTGGAAGAGAAAGCCAAAGACAGATGACGGGTGAATTTTTGTGTTCACAGGTACTATTGCTCGAATTACCCTCATATTCCATGCCTATTGCAGAATGTGAGTTATGGAAAAGTTTTAGTTACTTTTTATAGTGAAAAATCTGCGGGCAGATTATGTTACGTACTTCCAATATGTCTCGTCACTTAAAAGTGTTATTTTTTAAGCCAACTAATTTCCTCTTTTCAGTCCTCGCAAGCACCTCCCGCCCTATCATTCTGGAAAGCAGTCGAGTAATGTATCGTACTCATCCTGTAAAGTATCGTACTCCTCTTGTCAGGACCGCTTTTTTTTTATTTTTTCGATCCGTTAGCTTAAATATGATACTTCTAGCATGCTGCCGAAAAA